TCCTACTAGTTATGAGTTGAGTGACTTTGGGCAAGAAGTACAGTCTGGCATGATCTCTTTTTTTTTTTTTTTGCAAAATAGGTATAATCATATTACATAATTTACAGAATTGTGATGGCAAATGAAATAACTTAGTCCTCAGTAAATGTCAGCAGAACTTTGAATTTATTGATTGACGTAGCAAAAGTGTATTGAATGCCTGCTCTATGTCGGGCACTATGCTGGGTGCTGTGACAAACAGAGCGCTGGACAAGAACAGATGTAATTCCTGTCCTCTTGTAGCTTACCTTCTTGTTGGAGGGATGATTGCGGATGATACTGTCTTAGTCCATGTTTTGCTGCTAGACCTGAATAACACTGACCAGGTAATTTATGATGAAAAGGAGTTTATCAGCTGATAGTTCTGAAGAGTGGAAGTCCACCAATGAAAGGCTAGCACCTGGGCAGAGTCTTCCTGTAGTGTCATTCTATGGTGGGAGGGGCAAGGGCAAAGGAGGAGGGGAAGGGAAGAAAGAGGAGGCCAGACGTGTCCTTTAAAAAAATGATTTGGGAGGCAGAGGAACAGGGCTAAAAAGAGAGAGAAAGATTATGTGTGGAGTGGGAGATTAAGAAAAATAGTACTTCCATCTGCTCATTCTCCCGCAAATGCCTACCAGGGTCAGGGGTGGATCACAATGAAGCCAGGAACCTGGAACTCCTGGGTCTCACAGATGGGCGGCTGGGACCTAAATGCCTGAGCCATCATTCCCCACTTCCCAGGGTATACACTAGTAGGAAGATAGACTTGGAAGCAGAGTCAGCACTTGAACTCAAGCATTCTAATATGGGGTGAAGGTGTCACAGTGGCATCTTCACCACTGCACAGTAAACCAGCGGAGATCCAGTTTGCAGCTCATGAATTTGGGGGGATATATTCAAACCACAACAGACACACATTTATTTGGATACAGCTTGTGACCAAGGAAGTAGCAGAAGTTTCATTTGGGCACCAAAGAAGTTTCCAGCAGGGGCGTCACATGGGAGGTTGTGTTTTGTGGATGGACTGGAGCCTGATGGACGAGGCCAGGAGAGGTAAGACCAGTTAGGGTTACATTAGGATACAATTTTCCTGATGTAAGAAGGCACTGAGCTAGGGCGTTAACAGTAACGAGGGTCAGGGCGTTCTGAGAATTAGAGGATGATATCAGCTCAGTGTCCCCAATGCATTTTTTTCTAAGCCAGGATGCCTCTAAGTTATAGGAATTTCAGAGGATCAGAAAGGTTCATAATAAATTTATGAACAAATGGACGGCCCTTTCCCCCTTTTCTATTCTCTTAAGCTCTCCTTCCATCTTTTGCTGGTGCTTCCCTGACACTGGGTTTCCCCCTAGTGGATACAATATGTAATAGCAGGCTCTTTTAGCTGAGAAATTCACACGTGGAATAGCTTACATATTTCGACTGAGACAAGAATATGCTTTTCTGTGTTTGGATCTAAGAGACCGAGGCATGATGAAAGAAAATAGGCAAATAGTTTAGGTAATATTGCTCAAACAAAATTAAGACATTCTTAAAGGCTCCAAGTGATTCTTGCTGGAAAATATTCCACTTTTGCCTTTTCTCTCTTCAATTCACTTTCAGTAAAGTGTTCGAACATCCACAAAAGAAGGACCTTGGCTCTGTAAGTCCAGGCAAGGTAGGCAACATATTTAAGGGAAATGGCATGTGTGATGTATACAGAGTGGCAGGACAGTGGAGAACTTTAACCTCTGCCACTAACAGTTAATTGTTGTGGGGATGTGGGCTTTGTGCTGTCAAAAATCTCAATTTTTAAAGATAATCTTGAAAGCTAGACTATTATATAAACTACTCCAGTGTTCCAATTGTAATTCAGGTATCTGAGAAAAAAATAACAGCGTTATCAGAGTAATTGGTCTGCTCCCAAACATATCATCAGTATTAATCATTTCAAGTACATTCATGATTACAGTTTCACTGAAAGTCAATGAAATTTTCTAAAAAGAATAATGAAACTAGTCTTTCATGTAAAGATTAACCTATATAAGATGAAGGCTTGTATTCCTCTCCTGTAATTTTATTATTTGATCAAAATATTCTTGTTTTATCTTCATTTGTGTTCAAATATCTTTTACAAAATGACAGTATTCCTGCCAGTGGGTTTAATTGGCAAACATGAAGCGTTGATAACTGTTATTTTGCTGCATTTAGCTTTGTCTTACTTGTTATTAAGATCCAGATGAGGACCGTTCTGCTGAGACAGTGGTAGTTCATTGAAGGGTTTTAGGCACTTTCTGTGCTGAAATAGCCCTAGGCCTGAAGAGGAATGTGAAGGCTTGCTGGTTGAGATTAGAGTAGCAGGAATTCTAGAATGTGACGGCCTGACGTAGCTGTCTCCTCACTGCCTTATTCCGTGATTGAGAATGCTGAGACATACCGGGCGCAGAGTTGAGCATGGCTAACCAGTCACCAGCAGAGCTGCTATTCTGCTTCCTGTTTCTGATCCCAGCTACCTGTCGGTTCATGTGCCCTGGTTCTTTCTGTATCAGCCGGATTGTACCCTGCCACTCTGCCCCACCCAGTTGATGAGCGTCCTGTAAAACAGGAATACTTCAGGGCAATAGGAGAGGTGATTTGTCTAATTTTGCATTTTAAGTAAAATTTGAAACCTGTGTATCGGGTTTCATTTTGGGGTATGAAAGTTTGCCTCTGAGATGCTATAGGGTAGATCGTCCTTTAGTATGTTGTTTTCATGTATATGATAGTTCACTTATTTTTTTTTATCATCTCCTTTTTTTTAATTGTTATTAACATTGTATTATGTGATACAGTTTTATAGGCACTGGGGATTCCTCCCACCCCTCCCATACCCCTCCCCCCATGGTGGATTCCTCCACCTTGCTGCATAACCACAGTTCAAGTTCAGTTGAGATTCCTTCCTTGCAAGCATATACCTAGCATAAAGTCCAGTGTCTTATTGTCCAGATAAGTTCACTTATTGTGATGTTTGACTACATAAGAATACGAATTGTTTAGAAAATATGATCACTTCACTTTCTCCCCGGTCTGGCCCAGCTTCTACAGGAAAGGACATGCTTTAAACATTTTCTTAGTGTTTGTGTGTTATATTCTTTTTTTTTCTAGCACCTAACTCTGTGTGCCAGAGAGATTATAACTCCTTATTAAATTTAAAATGCTTAATAAGCATCAATAAGAAGTTAAATAAATTGAGCACTTCTATGGGCCAAGTATTATTCTACATAGCTTCTCAACATTACCAAAAAAAAAAGAAAAGAAAAGCCTCATTTTGTTGTCGTTTAGAAAAGTTCCACATTAGAATCTGTCTTCAACATTTGCTGCTTTCCCAGTACTGTGGTGCCCAGTGCGCTATTGTGAAGAATACACTGTGGAATCAGATGGATATACCCTGTGTTCCAGATGGAGCTGGAAGTCTGAACTGCAGTGATGACACACACTTGCCTCAAACTTCTCTGCTTCGTGGGAACCTGAGACATTTTCTAATTAATTAAGAAAAGGGTTGTGCTATGCCAGTTGTCGAAAAGGAGAAATTTAGTATTGGTACTTGAAAAAGACATCTTGGATACCATAAAGATTAAGTGACACCATAAGGATGAATTCACATAAGGAGTGGGGAAAGTATTTTATGTGGTCAAGACAGAGAATCAGACAGAAGGAATGGAATGATGGGCATTTTAATAGCAAAAATCCAGAGGGCTGGAACAGAGGGGGAAACCTGTCAGGATGAGGCTATCTGGCTTTGCAAAGCTCTTAAAATGCTTTCTGTACATATAACATAACCAAATGTGGCTATAGTTACCTAATAACTTATGTAGTTATTTGTATACTGTTCTAAGTCCTACCTTTCCCTCTGCGCTGACTCTGAATCCTGGGGCATCCAGGTATTGTTCTGTCACTTAGTATCATCTTAATCTTCGCCATATACATGCGTTTTCTGAATAGCCAGTCCATTAATGGACACAATACACAGTGGGGTGTGTGTGCGTGCGCTTAGTCAGATTGCTAGTACTTACTCCACTTACTCATGGAGTCATTTATCTGATAATTATTTCTGGATTCCAAGCAGTTTAGAAAAATCTAAGAGGTTCCTTCTTGGCTTAAGTTTGTTCTAGGCTTAAGGCTAAACAAAGCTGATAACCCTCAGATTTTAATTACTAAACAATATAGTGCAATTTAGAAATGCTTGTATTTTAAATTATTATGCAATGATTTTTAAAAATTTTTGTCATTTAATTTTACATAAATTTCTTTTTAAAAATTAGTTTTCTGGGTCCGGCTACGTGGCCTAGCGGTTTAAGTCCTCACCTTGAACGCGCCTGGGATCCCATATGGACACCGGTTCTAATCCTGGCAGCTCCGCTTCCCATCCAGCTTCATGCTTGTGGCCTGGGAAAGCAGTCGAGGACAGCCCAAAGCTTTGGTACCCTGCATCTGTGTGGGAAACCCGGAAAAAGTTCCTGACTCCTGACTTAGGATCGGCATAGCATCGGCCGTTGCACTCACTTGGGGAGTGAATCATCGGACAGAAGATCTTCCTCTCTGTCTCTCCTCCTTTCTGTATATCCGCCTTTCCAATAAATAAATCTTTTTTTAAAAATTAGCTTTCTTTATTCGAAAGGCAGAGAAACGTGGTAAGAAAAGGATAGGCAGGTATCTTTCCTCCAGGGCTTCACTCCACAAATTCCTGCCAACCAGACAGAGCTGGTTCAGGCTGAGAGCAGAAGCCGGTGCTCCATTTGAGTTTCCAGTGTGGGTGGAAGTAAGGAAGGGACACAGACACTTGAGACATCACCTACTGCTTGCCATCAGCACTAACAGGAAACTGGATGGGAAACAGAGGAGAAAATCCAGGCACATCTGCACGGGACATGGCTCTCCCAAGAGGTGGCCTGACCTGCTGCACCGTACGCTCGTTCTGCAATGACGAGTACATGTCAGAATGTGTTTGTTTTTTCTCTGCCCAGCCCATCTGCCAGGCAGCCTATCAGAATGACTTTGGTCAAGTGTGGCGGTGGGTGAAGGAGGACAACGGCTATGTCAATGTTCAAGATGGCTTTAATGGAGACACTCCCCTGATCTGTGCTTGCAGACGTGGGCACACAAGAATTGTGTCCTTCCTCTTAAAAAGAAATGCCGATGTGAACCTCAGAAATCAGGTAAGGCTGTTACATGTGTTGTGTGTGCAGTAGTTCAGAATTATTCCTTTCTTTTTGATCACTGAAAGTAATGAATTCCATTTCTCATTGATTGCAGCTCCTAATATTGACAATTTCTTTTTAAAATCTTGTTTTAGAGAGCCTGACACATACAATCCCATTTCCTAAAGTCAAAATGCAAAATAAAGCATCAATTCCTGCAGATATATTTTGTGATGAATTTTGTCTGTGAATCTGAGGAGGAAGGAAAGGTCCACTCATTTGGTGGGATGAAACTTTCTCTCCTGTCCTCTTTCTTCTCCTTCCTCTCTCCTCTTTCTTGCTATTTCAAAAGTAATGGGAAAGATTTCCATAAAAAGAAATAATGACTTTGTGATGCTATCCAATTGGATAGATCTTTTATTGAGTATGTTAATGTCCTGATCTTCAGAGAGTCCTGTAATAGGATAGTAGAATGCTAATGAGACATTTACCAAGGACAAGTAAGATCGTGGAATTGAGGCTTCTTAAATCTTCATGGGAAAGAATAAAGAATGTGTTTTAAAGACGTGATAGGAGCTTTCTCAGGATCAAGAAAGAGCAAGCTATGTATGTATTGTCCTGAATATCCTTGCAGAATCCCTTCTCAAGACCTTGCATCTACATCATAGCAAAAGCAAATAGTTAAATAGTAGGCATCAATTGTTGCTATTATTAGGAATTCCCTCTAGCCACTCTTGCGCATTGGATGAGAAAGCATGAAGAGCCCCACTTGTCCCTTCCAAGTCACTGTAAAGATGGCTCATTGCAAGTAACGGAGTATTATCAGAAAATTGGTCACTGCTGGACTTTCTTGCACATGTCTACTGTTTTCAGCTTCATTGAGCTTTCATACGTACCATCCTGTTCTGAATTTAATGTATAGGTATCTTGGTAGAATATGGCATGTATTCCTGGGAAGTAGCAGAGGAGCCAGGGATGTAGAGATATCTTGAGCAGCAGTGCCTGCCTGTGACTATGGAGTGGATGCCGATCATCGCTGTGCACATACTGTTGAGGGGGGAAAAGGGAGGGAGATGGGAGACGTGGAGGAGTGAGGGAAATGTGGGTGTCTTCTGGAAGATATGCCTATGCAGCACACGACATCTGTTCTCTATATTAATCTCATTTTTTAAGTGTTCTTTTACTGCAGCACAACTTGGCAGCACATTAGGAAAAGCATTAGTATTTTTTATACCTGGGATTTTAGTTTTTAGAAACATAAGCAAAAGACAAATTTAAGGATGTCGATAAAGCGTTGTGGGTGCAGATGTTCAGGCAACACTATTCATAAAAATGGGACTTTAGAAACATAAAATATCCTGTTGGTAAGGTTTGACTAAGTAAATTAGGATGGCTCCATTCAGTAGACATCAGTCTGGCCACTGTGCTCACAGGGAGAACTTCAACAACTTCTATTACTCTTATTTTTAGTTTTATTTTTCCACAGACTCTTTGAAGTGTCCTGGTGTATTTAAAAATATTGAACAACATGAGAAATGTACATGTTCTAAGTGTGCATTTCTTAGCTGAAGGAAAAAAGGCAAGGTATAATTTTGGATGTATACCGTGGTCCTGCATTTTAAATATTCCACATGTATATATTTAAGAAGAAAAAAAAGCAAACTGTCAACAGTTAACCCTGTCCTGTTTGATAATGGTTGATATCTCATTATATTGTTGGCTAGTTTTCAAAATTTACTTTAATATTTGGAAACATAAAGCATGTTCTACAGAAGAACAGTGTGTGACCCAAGTAGGGAATTGGTCTCCCTTTTTCTCACTTGCCTGCCTGCTCTTCCTACTGATTTGGCTGATGTTCCAATTATATTGTAACCTGGTTTGCATTATACTTAGTTGTACAAGATTCTCTCTACCTTTGATTATGAAGTTGTGGCAACCCCTTAACATCTGCCACTTGATAGCTAGTCACATATTTGAAAAATGTAATTATTTATATTCTTCTAAGACTGCCTATGCGCATGTAGGAATATGGGGAAAGTGCCAATGCATTACATTTTCCTTTAAACATAGCACAAAATGGATAATTGTGTACCATACATGATTAATATATAAGTATAGCTTTTCATACTCACCTCAATACTGAGCCTATATCTTAGTATACTGTTTCCCCCCAAAACTGAGTATGAGAATCAGTCTTTCGATGACTCAGAATGTCTGTCTCTTCTGTCATTTTTCAGTGGCTCTTCTTCAGCTTTTCTCTCTTACACTAGGTTGTGTTCAGTTGTTGATCACTAGGTACACGAATTTATTATTTAGGGATACCCCACAGAAGGAAGTGCAATGAGGAGCAAAATGTATTTACCCTGATTTGAAAATTATGGAATACATACATATATCAGGAAATTACATGATACCTAAATATCTATACAATTTTTATCTGTCCATTAAAAATGAAAAAAAAAATAAGAAAGAGCAAACTTCACTTTCCAGTTTATAATCTGAACGTATGGGATCTGAAATGCAATGTCCTATTAAGAAAAATCCTTTCCTTCATTTTTAGAAAGAGAGAACCTGCTTGCATTATGCGGTGAAGAAAAGGTTTACCTTTTTTGATTATCTGCTCATCATCCTCCTGATGCCTGTTCTGCTGATTGGGTACTTCCTCATGGTGAGTAGAGCAGTGGGGCACAGGGGAGACCGTGGGGGGAGCCAGGCATGACTCCTGACTTTCTGCCGGGTAAGATGTGAAGACATAGTAGAGGTTCCCAGAATACGTACAGATGTTACGATTGAAATAAAACAAGAAGAAAGGTAGCTAAAGCAGTTCACCAATGATAAAATAATCTTTGCAATGTTTATTTACAAAAGTAATTTAGATTGCTTCCCAGCCTTTTGGCTAAGATCAAGTATAAAAGCAATCTAGAGTTCAAAAATGCTACACATAAAAAAAAAAGCTAAAGAGATGGAGATGCTAATAATTCTGAATTGATTGGCACTTGCTGCATACTTTTACTGAAATACCACCCTACACCCATAAAGATGGGCAGTTTTACCTGGTAGTTAAAAATAAAAGGTAAAAAGAAGTCATAAAAAATTATTGTTCACTGAAAAATCACCTGAAGGAAGACAAAAGTTCTGTGTTAAAAAAAATTCTCTTCCTCCTGTGTCTCTCCTATATAAAGTAGAGGAGTATATTTTTTTTATATATTTCTCTGTCTGATTTTTAAGGGCACACCTTTTGTGAATTAAAAACATATTTCAAGAGTCACTTCTAGAAGCAAACACAAAAGATATTGAGATGTGAAACCCATCTTTCATCTTGATTGATTTATTCATGCTTGATAGCATCTTGCAGGCAATAATTTTCCTGAAGAAATATGGAGTTGGTGTGGCATTGCAGTCTGTTTATTTTTTATCTGCTTCAAAGTGACCAAGCATTTGAACCATCATCTACTGCCTCCCAGGCAGAAGGTATTAGTAAAGGTGATAGGAAGTAGAGTATTCTGCACTTGAACTCCAACATGGGGTGCCAGCGTTCCAGATTTAACCCACTGGGCCACAATGTCTGCCTCTGGCCACTTCCACTTTGGGGATGACTCAACAGGTGCCTAATTTACTCTGGCTGAATAACTCAGCTCCAGCCTTTTTTGTGCTGAAAGGAAGTGGACATTAGTTGACTTTTTTAGCATGAACTTTGGAACAAAGTCCACAAGTCGAAAATGCTACGTCTTTGGGTAGTAAATGTTACAGCTTTGGAGGAATTGTAATTAAATGTGAAAAATGCTGATTTTGATGATTGAGTTTATGGGAGTGATGAAAATTTTTAATTCACTAATAAATACATGATCTGCTTATAACTGTGAGGCGTTCTTAAAATTATTCTAAGTGTATATGGCACGTGTTCAGCCTAGCAGTTAAGATACCAATGAAGATTCTCCCACCTTATATCAGAGTACCTGGATTGAGTTCCTGGCTCTATCTACTGACTCCAGCTTCATGTTAATGTAGACCTTGCAAGCAGAGGTAATGGTTCAGGTGACTGATCTCCTGCCATTCATGTAGGGTATATGAATTCAGTTCCTGCCGTGGTCCAGACCCATCCCCAGCTACTGGCAATATTTGGAGAGTAAAATGGTAAATGGGTGATCTCTCCTACTCTCTTCATCTACTTCCCTCCCTCCTTCCCTGTCTCTCCTTCTTTTGCCCTCATTCGTGTGTGTGTGTGTGTACATGCCTTTCAAAATGAGAGAGATTAACTTTAAAGCCAAAATAATTTGTGGTGTCTTTAATAATATACAGCACTTGAATATCTGAGGAGAGAAGGAATCTGTCATCCATTTTTCAAGGAAAAAAAATACAGCTGTGATTAGAAAAGCTCACTCAGCATTTGTTGCCACACAATCTGTTAGAAGGTGGGAACTTGGGGAAGAATGACTGACTGCAATGAAGAAGCCATCTGACATGGCACAAATACCTCACTTATTGCCAGAGCTGGGAATTGTGAAGCTGTGAAAAATGAGGAAAAGGTGGCGTGAGAGGGACTATCAGCGAAAGAGCCAGTAATGCTTGAATTGCTTCTGAGAAGGGGATAGGAGAGACAGTTTGGAAGTTGACCCAGGGAGGATGCATAAGGAGAGAAGACACCTGAATGAGGCCTCCTGGGTGAGGAAGGGGCTGAACTTCAGACCTGCACCCCATGAGCAATATGCTTTGCTTACTCCACTAGTATTGGTGGAAAACTTCAACTGGCACTTGTTCAGAACCTCAAGGGCTTTGAAAGAATAAGTGCATTTTGCAGGTGTCCTAGCTTAAGTCATTTGTTGGTTTAATCCTTCAGCTTACTATTAATGGGACTGTTATGTGCCAGACACTGTGTCTGAAATACCCATAGTCCTTGCCCGTGTTAAAGTTAGGGATGGTGGGAAGAGTGATTAATCAAATGACAGCACCACATGTAGAGTGACCATGAAGCAGATGATACACAGAGAGGTGAGGGGTGAAGAAAGCCTTGGAAAAAGGGTGTCACTTGGTCAGGAAGGGTGGGAAATCTATCTCAGGTGGAGGAAAAGAGGCATGGATCGGGACTGCAGTGTGAAAGATGAATTTGCCAGGCCAAGTAGGAAGTGTCTTGACAGTAATTCTCTGCGACTGGAGAGCCCGATGGAAATCTAAATCTATTAAGGGCCTGTGCAACTAACGCCAGGGGAGCAGATGTAGACGGAGAGAAGGCGAGGGCTAGGGCCCAAGTAGGGGTTTGTGGGCCTTGATGAAGAGTTTATGGTTGTTCCCAGAGGAATTAGAGGTTACTGAAGAGTTTTGAGGCAAGAAGGGACAGACAAGTACTGTGACAACTGTCAACAATGTTTGGTTGGTCTAAGTTGGGGCCTGAGAACATGCATTTCTAACAGTGTCCGGGTACTGTTCTGTAAGCATACCCCGAGGACTGCAGCTCTCACTGGTATAAACGGGCTGACAAGGTGGAGAGAATTTTTAAAAGATGTACAGAAATGTCAGAATTAAAATTCAGTCTGTGGACACAAAATGAAGGAGATGCTTGCCAGTAAACTTCTCTTCCCCTTCCTGTGTATAACAGGTGTCAAAGACTAAGCAGAACGAGGCCCTGGTACGGATGCTACTTGATGCTGGTGTTGACGTTAACGCTACTGATTGTGTAAGTCTGCGTTTTTAGCCATTTTTATTAAAAGTCCCTAATGTGGTCCTTGCAGGTGATTTTTTTCGTCATCAGTAAGTTTGCTTTGATTTTACGTTTAGTTTTGTTTTTCACTGCCGTCAGGTGACCTTGAGATTCTCCATGTTCTTCCACTAAATTTAAATAAAAATCATTATTGATAATAGGACATGGCTCATAAAACTGGGCTTTACTGTTGGTGAGAAGTAAAGTCCAATACAAACTCTTGACAACAAAATGCCATTCTTATCACTTAAGAAATAGTGAAGTCACCACACCCAAATGTAACTGTAGGCATTCCAGTACTTATACAAGTTTGGCAAGTTACAAGCTTATTCTGCACTGTTTTCTCATCTATAAAATGGCAGTACTAATAGTATTCACTTTATAGGCCTGGCTTATGTGAAGCACTGTGCAGAGTGACTGGCAAACACTAGGACCGAATGTTAACAGCTGCTGCTGAAGCTAGATCCCAATCTGAGATTAGATTGGAACTCACTGATAAAAGATGCTTTCTTTATTAGCTAAAGATAGATAAGACAGGGAGCTAAAAATACCAAAACAACAACAACAACAACAAAAATGCCAGAACAGCGATAGTGTCAGCTGGCTTCTATCTGTATGCACTTCTCAGGCTTTGTTACACATGAACTCCTGCGCCCTCATGCATCTCCCCACTTCCATGACTATAATGGGTTAGAAGTTTACTTCCTTTTCTTGTGATGTTTTCCTTTATTAGGCTGATTGAATAAGATTTTAGATGACCAGTTCTTTATTTGAAAAGTGGGCATGCTGAAATTTGATTCCAAGAAAGAAGTATGGTATTTGTGATCCCTAATTCCTATGTACACGTCCCTTGGTGTGTGTAATGCCGTTGTTCTATAACAGGGAGTATGCCCCCATCCCTGTTCATTAACTACATGCTTTTATTTTTGTTCGTATTATCCCACTCAGATACAGGAAAGTAGTGGTATTTGTGCCTGTGTGTGTGAGAGAGCAAGGGAGACCATGAGAACACATTTATGAAATTGCAAATAGTACAGACTACCAGTATACATCATTATTCTTCTTGATACCTTTGAAAGGTATTCACAGATTAATAAAGATAAAACATTTAAAATGCATTTTCTTAATCTTTGCCTTTAGATTTGTGGATTTGAGATTATATCAGTAACTAAAACTTCTCTAGTATATTTTCCCAGTTATTTGTCTTTATCTTTAGGTAGAGATCTTACATTCCTATGCACACACACGTGAGCAAGTAGTGACACCATTTCTTCCAAAAAACACTTCTCAGATAAGAAGTATTGAGATTTAACTCTAAGTAATGCAGTGTTTTGTATTTTTTTGTAATTGTGTGTTATTTATTTTACATGGAAAAGGTCAAGGCCACATTTTCCAATTACTGTGCTGTCATTAAATAAAAATATGATCCCAGCTTTGTCTTACATGATGTTAGAAGACTGCTAATTTTGTTAGTGTTTTAATTCTTTTAGAGCTTTTCAAAAAGACTTTATTTATTTGAAAGACAAAGTTACACAGAGAAAGGGACAGTCAGAAATCTTCCCTCCGCTGGTTCATATGTCCAATGGCTGCAAAGGCTAGAGTGGGGCCAGGCCAAATCCAGGACTTAGGAGATTTTTCTGGGTCTCCCACTTGGCTCAGAGGCCTAAGGACTATTTTCCAAATGTGTATTACCAGGGAGCTGGGTTGGGAGTAGAACAGTAGGAACACAAACTAGTGCCCATGTAGGATGCTGCTGCAGCTGGCAACTTGACACACCACACAACAGTACCCAATTCTATAAGTCTTGACAGTCATGGATGTTATCTCTTCATTTAATGAAACCGTTCATTCTTGGCTGATTTTTGAAAGGCAAAAACAAAAACAAAAAACCTCTAACAAATATTCCAGCTATCAATTTTTGAACTATAATAAGTAAGTGCTTAAATTAATGTCAGAAGATTATATCTGCTACTTATAAATCATAATATGGACTCTAACAAACCAAATGTGAGTTTCTCAAGATGCTGTGAGGACAGCAATGTTCTCTAGTGAAATAAACATTTGCCTCTTCAGACTGTGAGGATTTTAATCAAGAACACCAGAGGATAATATTTGCAGAAAGTTCCATGTGGAAAAGAAACTAACAACATGTAGGCTGTGATTGCCTGTGTGCACCGAGTTCTACAGAGAAGCATGGCATAATTCAACATCAAACTTTTTATGAGTTGCATTCTCCAGTTTGGAACAGAAAATGATAAATGAAGATATTGACAGCTCATAGAGTATTAGTTCACATAAACCCCTAGGCAGAAAAGTGGACTTTTTATTTATATAAGGAGTGTGGAAGCAATAAGAGGAGGGCTCCTATCTACTCTTGAGATGTCAACATGGATCAGGACTGTAGCCAGAAGCCAGGAATTCTGTCCAGGTCTCTTGCATGCATGACAGGAGTCTAATTACCTGAGGCATCACCACCTTGTCTAGGTGTGCATTGGTAGGAATCTGGAGTCAAGAACCAGATCTGGAATCAAACCTAGGCCCCTGGATATGGGACACAAGGATCTTCCTGCAAGGCACAGTGCCCACTTCGAAGAGGAAAGCTTTTTAAGTCTAGGAACTAGAGGTGCTCATTGATAGTTCCCAGATTGTCTTGTTTGTCTATCTGTACGCTGCAAAGTGAAAAAACAAATGTGAGCTTCAGAAACCACAGGCTGTAGTTGCGGAGCTCCTGACTGATGAGCTGTGAGGTTGGCCTTTTCTGTTTCAGTACGGCTGCACTGCATTGCATTATGCCTGCGAAATGAAAAACCAGACTCTTATCCCTCTGCTCCTGGGAGCCCATGCAGACCCCACAATAAAGAATAAGGTAAGTTAATAAATGTGCAGAAAAACAAAAACAAAGGAAGAATTTGGGAGGCCCCAGGCTGGTGTCCTGCTGGCAGCATAGTTTTCTGGTTTAGGCCTTACAAACAAGTTAATTGTCTCTTATATTAATAACAGTAAAATTGTCCCCATTGAAGTTAGCAAATTGATTCTATTATTAGAATTGAATGGCATTTAAAGCCTTTACAAGCCTGAAGATTAATCAGTCTTGACAGTTGACCAGACCTTTCACATTGGCATTTGACCCTATTGGAAATAAACAGTTGTAACTTCTTCTTTTGTACTTAGCACGGTGAGAGCTCATTGGACATTGCACGGAGATTAAAATTTTCCCAGATTGAATTCATGCTAAGGAAAGCATCATGATGATCCGTGTGAACTCAAGAACGGGTCATAGGCAGAGCTGAAGAACTGGATTCTATCTCCACCTTGGACTGTTGGTCTCTGAGCTTCCCCACCTGGACACCGCAGTTTTTTAGGAATGATGATGGTTGCCATGGTTGTCTTCGAAGAGCCTTTTACTTATTGTGTGGTTTGCTCACTGGAGGTCACCACGGCCATAGTATTTCTAGAGGAGACATCAAACTTGTCGGAATCTCCATGCAGTCGAAAAGCAGATGTTTCAAAGTCGGTCACTTCTAAAGAAGAGGTTCAGAGTTACCTGAGAGACCCTGCCTTCTTCTGGCTTTATCACATTATCAAGGACTGTCTCTGCCACACCTTAGCAGGCAAGCTGTCCTTCAAGAGGAAGAGTCAAAGTGTGTACATTTGTGTAGAAGCATGTATGTTTGTGACTTCAGTGACTCACATGTAAATATTCTTTGCTGGAACAACTTCAATAAAAATGTCTCTCAGATGTTAGTGGTGGGTTGTTTGTGTACCACAGAATGGGCAAATATTACAGAATTCTCATATTTTTCACTTTTCAGAGAGCTTGTTTACCAGCAAATCGGTAGATATATTGATACCAGTTTACACATAAAAAGCCATCTTGATTTGAGTAAGACCTTGTAAGTATCAAAACACTTTTTAAAGAATATGTTTATGATCCTTTATAAAGGAGTTGGTAAACAAGTGTTTCTCATCTTTTCACTGATAACATTTAAGATAGTATTGTGGCATAATTGGTTAAGCCACTACTTGTGATGCCAGCATCCCATGTCAAAATGCTAGTTTGAGTCTCAGCCACTCTACTTCCAATTCACATTCCTGCAAAAGGTGGCCTAATCACCTGGGCCCCAGCTGTCCGTGTGCTTCAGCCTGACCTGGCCCTGGCCATAGCAGCCATATGGGAAGTGAACCACAGGATGAAAGATTTCCCTCTGTTTGTAAACTAAGCCACACAATATATGATAATAAATACAGTCTAAGAATGAAATATTTACTGTCTTTAAACAAAAGTCTAATAAACAGCAAAACCAGGAATATATTTTTAATTATATGCAGGCTCTTAAGGCACCTATTTTGTGAAGGAAATAGTAGACTTGTATTCTGATGACATTAAATGTATCTTAATAATTTATGTAAGATCCATTAACATTGAACTGAGTTTCTAGGTGACTTTGGGGAACCAAAAAAGAAAATACACACCTGTGTATCTTCAACAGTATGTGTTCAACTTAAACAAATGTATCTCTTGCTTTGTTTCAGAGCAGATTTTGCAAAATAATATGAAAATCACAGCTATTATTTTTGACCAATTGTAAAAATTGAACAATTTGCTAAATAAATAAGTTAGCATTTTGTAAATGAATTGGAAGGACTGCGTAACAGTAACTGTGAAGATCAGAGGATAAGCTACAGGATAATTTGCTTAATTGTCTTCATGGCTTTTAATTTTGGGAAGCATGAAAGAGAACCAGAAATGTCTAGTTATTAGTTTCCCAGCAACAGGCTGTATGTAGACTCTCAAACAAGACCGAACTGGAGCCTAGGTACTGACATGCATATCTTAATGCACTTAGGGGACAACTCACAAATATCCCACAACATTCTTTCAGTTAAGATCCAACTATGAAACTCAGTACTTTTTAGGATTTCATCCGTAATACACATTGCTTTTTATTGCTATGTTCAAAGCAGCTTGGCTTCCTGACATAAAATTGTGTCTTTATGGCAACAAGTAATATCTAGTTTGTTGTCAAAGTCAGCAACAATCCAGAGATTCAAGATCTTGCAGTCTGTGCCAATTTGCCATTTTATTTTACTGCTCCAAACATGGAAGTTTATGTGAACAGCATAGAGAATCTCTACATACTTCCTGGCTATCAGGTAAAATCTCTTCAAGGTGGTGGAATATAACGTAGCACCAGGCATCTGTGTTCATCCATTGAATGCTTCCACACCAATGAGGTAAATGTTGGTTGAGTCCCAAATGCAGAAGTTTGAAGAAATACTTCTGTCCTCTTTTTCACCAGCATGGTGGGCTTCCAGTATTAGACATCCTCCTTGCAATCTTCTATTCATGACCCTGGTCCTGTCTACCCTGAGGTTAGGAAGACTTGTCAGCCTCAGGTTGTTTCATGGTGTGACTTTGCACGTTCCCTCGGAAAGGTTGTTTTCTTCCTGTTGCATCAGATCTATGATTTCATTGTACATCCTGTCAGGAGCATCCAACCCCCAGATAAAATCTATGTGAGCCCATTCAGGGATGTTCTTGTGGTAGATGAGGTTGGTTACTTCCGAGAGCAGTGTTTTCACATCCTCTGGATTTGAGAGCCAGTCCTGGCCACCTGTCCACATTGCTGTAGGGACCGTCATATCGCTGACTTTGTATCGAATAGGAGTTGGCTGGAGAAATAGAACAGCTTTTAGTTCTGGGTAATAGTTGAACTTCCAAACTCATAATGGGCATTTTAAATAAAGATAAGGATTTTGATGGATATAGAAGTAGAACTACCTATATATACAATTAGCTGATAGCAGCAATTGAATTTGATCTGCAAGGGTATTGTATAATGTGTCTGATTTTCTAGCATTTTGTATCTAGACTTATGTGCAGGAGTGGATGTTAAGACTTATGGAATACTCTTTAAAGCCAAACTAGGCTGCATCTAGTCCACTCTCTCTGGTTTTGCTTATATGATCAGTGGTTATTTACACGCATATGTGCTAATTAACAATATTCAATAAAAATTTTACACTCAAAAGAGTGTACTTGTCCAAAAGAGGATACGTGTCCATTTCCCATTCTGCACACTTCTAATTTTATTACGTATTATTTTTCTGCAACTTAGGAATCACAGATTCACTGAATGTGTGTTCAGGAAAAAAACTTAAGAATCACATAATCCAGTCATTTTTAAGTTTTATGGATAAAATCTGAGGCCCGGAGAATCAGTGCAGCCAACTCACTCAAGTTTATAGTGTAGAAGCAAGGCTGGCACAGTCATCCTCATCCACTATCCCCTGTCCTTTATATGGTACCGTGAAACAACTGCCTCTCCACCATCTCTCTTTGTTTCTTTTAATACTAAAAGGATCCTTCTGAAATGCACCATGGACCACTGGCTTCCCCAGACGGAATCTTCCCTGTTTTGCTTCTGAGAAGCTGGTGCCTGTTCACAGAGCAGTGTCAGCTAGGGGAAAAGCCCCCTACTCTGTCATAGAAGCAGAGAAACCTCTTAACTAAGCTATGAAGCTCCCATTTTCAAATAAACTTAAATCTGAACTATCACTTTCTGCTTGATCACTCATGTTTTCTCACTCTAGAATGTGTGTTCCTCACAGATTTCCAAACAGTATATTCTCAGCAGTTGATAGTTGAGCGTCTCACCTGGTTGCCTTTCTCCAGATTCTTGGTCTCACTCCCCCAGTCAAATGCCCGGAGTTCTCCAGAACTCACTGCCTAAAAGGAAGCAAACATCTATGAGATAGTCCAAGATGTACCTAATTAAGAGTGTTGGTGGTAGACATGCTCATCAGGTCTGCCCTTGTGAGGGGTGCAGAGAGAAAAACTGTCGAAGCTTCTGTTTCATCTTGGGATGATATTTAAAAAGGTAGAAAAGTAAGGATGCGGGGGGGTCTTTGAAGGAGAAAGATCACCGAAATAATTTTTTACCACTCCAGGAAGTTCACCTATTTGGTACAATTAAAAGATTATAAAAGCAGAGCACCTCTGAAATTGTGCAATATGAAGATATCGGGTATTGGAGATCAAAGTTTAATCCAACTAAGAATACTTCAGTTTTGATCATACAATCTCAGATACTGTATAGCCATCACCTTACGTATGCCTTTTTTCTCCTGAGACTGCTGCCATAAAGAACTGCTGTGGAAATTCCTTTGTCCAATTAGGCCTACCCTAGTATTCTGGTTTCCACTTGATCAGGCTGCTGGAAAAACTGAAGAGTAGGTTGTTGAAATACTGTCTCCTCTTGCCAGTCCCCCTCAGGTGACCAGTGATGGATTGGGACTGTCTTAATGCACACATTTAAGAAGTCCCTTCCCCTCAGCTTCTGAGAAGTTTCAATGAGCTAGATTAAATTCAGTTGAAACAGCATTCACCAGATTATATTTAGTTTTAGCATAAATGCAAACGAACTCTTGGTTTGCCAAAGGACATCCTTTAGTATTTTAGCAAAATGTACATGTTTTTAGCGAACACTGCTTCATGCTTACCTGGCTCCAGTGAAGAATGTTTTGTACAGATGTTCCAGCAGGAGAATGGGCAACATACACATTTGCTCGACTCTGTAACAAAGTACGAGTGGTTTTTTGGGAAAACTCATAATATGTCATTCTTATCAAGGCAAAATCTCTAGGGAGTCTAAGAAAAGGGACCATTAATAAATTATCAGAAATTTTTAATGAAATGTTAATGTACAAGTAAATAACACTAAATATAACCCTGTGTTTTAGAATAGCTTCTCATTGGAGCTCTGACAACTTCTTTTAAAAAAGCTTACTGAAGTGGGTTCTAGAGATGATTCTGTATTAAAATCCTAGAACTACTATTTAATTTCTAGGTGATTTTGGACTGTTTATTCCACCAACTCTCAATGAACTAAAATGTAAAGTGGGGATATAGACCATTGTTGTCTCACCTACTTGTTATAAGGAACAATAATAGCCTGGCACATAGTAAATGGTTATTAGATGGTGCCTATAAGTCAAATTATTGACTGAAAAAGGAAGGAAAAGTTCTTCAGAAATGAGTATACATTACCCCGGCTGCTGAAAGTGATGCTGGCCGACTACCCTCCTTTGTCAGCCTTCTGTAGTGTTTGTCCCAGCTGCGAAGAGATCTCACCTAATGCCTCCCCTCTCAGTGATGTGGTCTGCATGAAGTGGTTAATTGATGTGGGGATAGAAAGACCCGATCTTCTTCCACCCTCCCAACTTGAAATAACTCTGAAGGGCAACCTATCCTCACACATTTTTGTAGGTTCAATTGAGGTTCCTACTGAGACTGCATCACAAGTTGAATTTCACATCTCCCAAAACCTGTTTCCTCCCATTCTTTAGGTATCATCGCAAGAACGGAACCCCAAATCACTCTGCATTTTAATCTCCATTCCAGATGGAGTGGTTCCCTAGAAACTCACTCAAGTCACCTCAGCTGTCAGTTAAGCCTGAGCCCAAGTGAAGCTCCCAAGAGATTTTGTCAATGAACTTAAACTTCAAACCTACAGGGCTTGTGTATACAAGGGATTAGAGACACATGCATAATAGTCTTTGTTGACAGCCATGTTCTGGTCACTTTTTTTTAAACTTCTTTAAAAATCTGATTTCAGATCTATTTTATTTTCTTCACTGCCATGAATACAGGAGTTTCTAAAACATCTATGGGAAATAAGTCTTATGAATCAGCTATGTATAGATTTCAGGTTTTTGCTTTAATTTCATTTTTCCACAAATGTTTTCAAGTACCCTCATGTAAGCTGTGACATTTAGTGCCATAATATGAACCTTGCCTCATGCTCATTCCCTCATTTCCTTACCATTTTGAAACCAGGGAGCACATCATTTCTCTATTTCCACTGATATCAGCATAGCTATAAGGGGTGGCATTCATAACCCTTGGCTTTGCCATAGAGTCTTGAGGAATCAGTAGATTCCTACTTACCATGTTCATGTTATTGGTGTTGAATCCTCCCAGAAGTAGGATGATATTGCTACAAATCTGGTCAAGAATCATCTGACCACAGAGGTAAATAACAAGTTGCCTGAGAAACCTGGTCTGATACAGAAATTCTTTTTTACCAAACAACCCCTGTAAAATACAAGGTGAAATGACAGACATGACATGATAGGTAGAAAAAGAAGTGCCTCATTTATAAATGTATGTTTAGGATATAGACCTGGAAGACTCTTCTATATATACATAGAATGATCTGCGGTACCTCATACCTTGATCATCATGTCTGGCAGCAACAAAAATTTGGTCCCAGGGCTTTTTGAATATTTGACAGTGGCAATTGGTGCTAAAGCAAAATACATTTTGATTTTCTTAGCCAGCTCTGGCATAGTAGAGAATGCAATAAATCCTACAAGAGAAGAAACATGTCAATATGGATATTGAATATAGTATAACTTATAAATTTTGCAATTAACTGTTACCAAGATTATTCAGTAACTATGTGTGATTACGCCTTAGTTCTCCTGTAAAATTTGATTGAGGGCAATGGTAAAAACTGTTCTGTGTTTCCTATGAAACCTAGCCATTTGCTTTTTTTAAATTATTATTTTATTTTGATAACCTTTACGTAATTGAATAGTGCAGAAAGTGTGTAGGGCTACAGGAAAGTTGGTAAGACCATTGTTTCCACAGCCATTTGCTTTTAAGTAGTAGATATTCATTGAAAAAAAAAAAAACTCAGAATTAAGGAAATTGCCTAGTTTGCTAGTAAGTTTGTTGAGATAACAAGGCTTTTGTTTCTTGACTCCCAACTCTTCAAGAACCCAAACTGTAACAGTTTAGCAGGCAGATTGTCCAATGAACTTTTTTTTAAAAATTTCTGTTGCACATTTGGTATGAGACCTTGGTTAAACAAGGGCGCTCCTAATGTGTATACCGAAAGTATTTCTTGAAATGCCACTCTTTGCAGGTGATGTATGTAGGACATAGTGGAGAAAAAGTCTGTTGCACAGAGGTATGGCCATTAGATTTGAAACATTGTATGCCTGTTTCACAAGAGCCTGTGTGCTTTTTACCTAGTCTAACATTTGCGGTTGCATGGGTAGGAGAGGAGGGCTAAGCAGAGAAAACTAGAATCACACAGTCTTGGTTGAGTTCCCTAGAGATGAGTGGGTTCTGAGAAGGCGCCTTTCCTGCCTTTGATTAGTTTTGGTAGCCACATGCAAAGGTGGGCCTCAAGATGATTTGTGTCCTCTTGCCCTCCCAATTATTGCACTGTAGGTCTGAGCTAGTAATATATGAAGCTAGGTCCATCTTAATTCCAAACATAATACAAATCCCCTCAAATGTCAAGATCTGAAAACTCTAGATCATGTTTTCCATTACTTCTAGATCATTACTTCTGCCATAAGAGAAGTTCAGGTTCTCCCTCTTACCAGCTCCATGGTTTATCAACTGAAGAATCCAAGAATCCTACTGGGTTTTTTTGTTTTTGTTTGTTTTGTTTTGCCTTTTCCCTCCTCTGAAATACTATCTAGCCTCATTGTTAACAGTTTAATTTTCATCTCTGATGAAATGGTTTGAGGAGAGACAAAATCTTTTAAAGGGCCTCTGAATATCATTAGAGTTGGACAGCCATATAACACCCTAACTATCTGTAAAGGGCAAAGTGAGAGTTTGACTGGAACTTGCTAATATTATTGAGAAAATAAGGAAATGAAAATGTAGACATTAAGTTTCATTTATTCTCTAGAAAAAAATTCATAAAAAATGAGCCACCTGAACTGACCCTTAGTTCCAACAGTCCTTCAGCACCTGGACTTCCTGATTAATAACTCAGTTTTATTTTTCACATAATGGGATTGTGACTGGTGGGAAAGTTCCACAGGAAATGAATCTTTGGCAGCAAAAAGAATACCCAAGTGGCTCCAATGTTATGTCTCCCCCAACAGATACTGACAATAGCATTATTATTTATGCAAACAAGAAAAGGAGAAGAATTAAAACAGTCAGCCACTCTGCTATGGCTGTCTACTTTGGAGTTAGGCTAGTTTCATATGGTAATCTACACGAGCTTTCTGCAAAACGAAAGTGGATCCAGTCCATATATAATTGAGTGTTTGCCAAGCATGTGTGCTTTGTGTCTCCAGTGTGTTTGCTAGCAGTAGACTATCAACTTGGAACACGGGAAGCTTCATTAGAAGATCTTACACAAATATGAGTTTTCTTGTTAAAATTATGACTTTCTTTTCTCTTGAAATTTGTCAGAATGAATACTCTCTTCCTTACTTCCTTGAGGACAGAACCTAAACCTCAGTTAGTTCAGGCATGTGGCCATTCTTCCTGGGGATGAAAAGCTAAAAATCATTAACTTAGCTTGAGGATAGCCTTTAGTCATCATTGTTGACTTCTGTAGACTCAGACTACCTGAAAGTCAGTCCCAAGACCAAATTGGCTGGGCAGTTTGTGTGTTGAGTAAATGGGGAAAAAAAATGTTCCTTGAATTAGTTAAAGCCAGTCTCTAGAAAACATAAGAAGCTCTTCTCAGTCCTCCCATGACCTTCCTTCATCCCAGTGTAAATCAAGCACCTTTTTTTCCCTAATGATTTTGGTCTGATACAGGGCGGCCAGGAAAGCCATGGTCTACACTCTCACCTCCCCATGAAAGTGCTCTGTATTCTGCAGGGACCATGCGTTAAGATCTCTGACAAATTCATCAAAAACAAAAGGATTTCAGCATATAATTCCAGACACTGGTGTTAGAATGTAAAGAGGAAGATCTGAGTGATATTTATACCAGATCTGTTTTGTATATGATAGTGCTATTTATTGATCACTTGTCATGAGGCAGACACTAAATTTGCATTTATTTATACTATGTGCTGGGAACTTCTCTTAAAACTCTGTTCGGATTTCTGCCATTGTAGAGCTCACATACATCATCATATGCATTAGACCAAACACCTGTACCACTTCTAAGAGGAAGATGAGGAAACTGAGGCTAGGGATGTACATAATTCCACAGGAATAGTTATCTTGTGTACTGCATAAGTCAAGGCAAGGCTCTTGCTCTTTCTACCACGCCCCAGGCCTCTCTCAATCCGGTTTCTCTTTCCTGTAGCCCCAACAGATAGTGAAAAGGAAACGGCCTGATCAGAGAGTAATGTGACATGAATGTTCTTAGGCATAATTTGTGTTTCTTCTGAGCATACAAACCTGCTTTTCTGTGAACCTACCCATGGTGGTTCCCTGTGAATAGCCAATATAATAGATATTTTCCTGGCCCGTTTTCTGCAAAATAAAGTTTATCACTGCAGGAAGGTCAAACCTAGCCATCTCATCATAACTACAAAGGGAAAAGAGAAAGTTAATGAACAATTATAATCAAGAACAGACAAAACCACCTTGAGGATTTACCTATAATCAATGCCTGAGTCAATCCTGATAGCATGCTTCTGTACCCCTTACATCACTCAGAACAGACTTGTTCCCACCCTGTAATGCTCACAGGGGTCTCAGGGCTCACAGGCTTTCAAAAATGGTAGTTTCTGCAGATGTTACCTCAGAGTGATGATCATCTTCAGTATTTATTGAGCACATGACCCACCTCCTGGTGGAAAGGCCCTGTTACACTGTTACCAGCAAAACTACAAGTCCATAAGATTCATTTACAGCAAAAGCACCAAGAGTACTGCAGGTACTCTTCTGTTATGGATATTAAAACAGGTTTAATGTCATTGGTAACTTAAAATACCAAAAATATTTTTCTGAGACCATTATGTGTCCAGTTGAAGGTCCCCAAAGCTTAATCATTTAATTTGTTTTAGTGCTGCCTGATCTCATCTCCTCTGGAGGTACTAGCCCTTGTCATTACTCATGGAAGAGTTAGCTCCAGGATAACCACCTACAGGTTAGTGGAATACCCTTTTCAAATTCCAATACCAATCACCCAACATCACCCCTCATTCTCATCTCACTTGCCAGACCCAAGCTTCTGTATGGGGAACTCAATATCCCTTATTCCTTCCCCCCAAAATGTAATTATTAAGAAAACTAGGTCAGAATATTGATGATATGACCTAAATGAATTACCCAGGAATCACAATTATTTACTCAATTCTCTCAAAGAGATTCCATTTCAACCTCACTTCTCTAGATTTCACATACCTGAAAGCCCAGAACTCATCCTGGTCTATGGAGAGTGTCTTGTGTTTCCGAGACCATGTATTTCCCCGGCTGTTCCCCATCCACACGTCAAAGCCAGCATCCGCCAGAATGAAGCCCAGGCTGTTGTTGGGTAGGTTGGAGATCCAATTGCTAGCATCTCCAAGTAGGCCATGCTGCAGTAATACCACAGGCCTGGCACCTGCAGAATTGATAACATTCCAACTATGTAAAAATGTTCTCTACCTTTCTTATTATCTCTTAATGTGCAGAAGCATTCCAATCAAGCAAAGCTATGATCAGATCTCCATTAAGATGCTTGATAGCTTAATTATTGTGGCTGGTTGCTTAACCTTTTAATACAAGAATTTCCTCAGAAGTAAAAAGGCATTTTTGCTCTGCTTACCAAGATAGATTTTAAGAAATAGATGATAAAATGCTTAGCAAAGAAACACTCAGTGAAATTCAACTTTACTTTTTTTTTAAAAAAAGATTTATTTATTTTTATTGTAAAGTCAGATATACAGAGAGAAGCAGATATACAGAGAGGAAGATCTTCCATCCGATGATTCACTCCCCAAGTGAACACAACGGCCAGTGCCATGCTGATCCAAAGCCAGGAGCCAGGAACTTCCTCCAGGTCTCTCATGCGGGTACAGGGTCCTAAGGCTTTGGACCGTCCTCGATTGCTTTCCCAGGCTACAAGCAGGGAGTTGGATGGGAAGTGGAGCTGCTGGGATTAGAACCAGTGCCCATCTGGGACCCCAGTGCATTCAAGGCGAGGACTTTATCCACTAGCCCACGCAGCCGGGCCCAACTTTACTAGTTTTTGTGTGTGTATGTAATTATTATTATTATTATTGGATTTTTCTGGTTTTCTCACAAAATATTGGAATTGCTCCAGGAGATAACATAGTATTATGATTAAGATGAATGAGTATCTATGATTTACAATTAAGATTTGTGACTATATAAATGGCCTTCATGTTAAAAGAACTCACAGCCAGATTGAGAATGCGCTAACTATTCAAATGCAAGCAAATCTGAACATCAAAATAAGTCGTAAGAGTAATGAATGATTGAATAATTTAAGAATCACTTCCTTGAAGACAGTGGGAGCTGCAGGAACAATATCAGCCACAAGAGGGAAGTATTTTGCACCAATTGGACCGAAAAGGCTGGTCCTGCTATTTTGAATAAGTTAACAACCAAGGAACGTTGCATTAAATATCTGATGAAATACTGGTTCAAGTGGAGAAGGGTAAGTTCAGAGGCACTAAGTTGGAGACATTATGGAAATATAAGTCATAGATGTGTAAAAAGAGTTAAAGGCCTTATAACCAAAAAGCTACAGGAATACAGTCTAAATAAAACAGTATGCCGAATCAGTGGTTCTAAGATCTTTCTGTCTTTGCTCCTCTCTGTATATCTGACTTTATAATAAAAAAGAAAAATAAAAAAAGAACATGGGATGTAATTGTGGATAGAATCTAATCTAAATGCAACATACTAACTAGACCTAACAGTTTTTTTGTGGGGAGGGCAAGTAAATTATTTAACCTTTGTGAGTGGCAGGTTTTTTAATCATGATTGATGCAAATAAAAGCATTCAAACTTTCACCCAGAAAATAAAAAGAACCCAGGAAATGATGGTATGTATACGCATGGCAGATGATGTAGTGGCCACTGTAAACAGACTGAAAAAGTAAAAGGAACACACTCAAATAGGAGATGGACACAATTTTAGTTAGTCATCAAGATTAATTTTTGAAACAACAGAAATAGCTGAAAAGTTTCATATGCAAAAGGTAGAATTATACAGATTAAGCAAACATGTACAAACAGGTTTTTAAAATGTACAAATAGATTCTGATTCTTAAAGAATTAACATCTTAGGGGTCTGGGCAAGATAGTCTAATGGCAAAAACTGCTCACTTTGAATGCACCGGGATCCAGCAGAGGTGCAGGTTCTAATCCCGGCAACCCTGCTTCCCATCCAGCTCCCTGCTTGTGGCCTGGGAAAGCAGATAAGGATGGGCCAAGTTGCACCCATGAGGGAGACCCAGTAGAGGCTCCTGGCTCCTGGCTTTGGATCAGTACAGCTCTGGTCATTGTGGCTGCTTGGGGAGTGAATCAACGGACAGCAGGATGGAAGATCTTCCTCCCTGTCTCTCCTCCTCTCTGTATGCCTGACTTTCCAATAAAAATAAATAAATCTTTTAAAAAAATTAACATCTTAAATCTTTGAATGTTGGGGTGTGCAGGGATGGGCACCAGGTGCTATACTTGAGTTTGTATTCTTCAGGATGAGTGATTGGTGTAGTTCACCCCAAAACTAGTAAGTGAATGTTCTACAGGATTTATGTTGGAAGGGTTTAGGGTAATGTCTTAAATTTTAGAAAGAGCCAAGAAATGGGTATTATTTTATGTTGACTTGAGATGAATGAAGGCTGTGGGGTGGTTTAGGACCATACTGATGTAGACTTTGTAGAACTGGCAGCATCCTTTGACATGACAAATGGAATCCAGTGTATACTAAGCACATAGGTCTGTTGTGCATAGTCAAGCCACAGTGGAGAGATAACAACAGGGAAAGTTGCCATGTTGGCATGATGTGAGATCAGCATACCTGCCTTCTTGGCTTGCAGTAAGCCTTGAGGGATTCTGTTGACAGAAAGGATATACCCATCTTCAGTTGTGACTTCGTATTCCTCACAGGGATACCCTTTGTGTTGGATGATCTCACTCTATGGAAAAAAATAAAACCATAAAATTTCCTTTGCATTCAGTTCTATATGTCTGTATTTTCGTTGATCCAGAAGTAAGCATAGATTTCTGGAGACTATAGACAAGAAATTCCTTGATTTTCATTAGCTAATCATGCTATCTTAGAAAAAATCAGTGAATGTCTCCAGAGCTCACTTTCATAATTTTAAATATGGAATCCGAAGAACAACCATGATTCTCCAAGTTTGGGCCCCGGCGTCAAATAATTAGTATTATTTGGGTATTTATAAGAAGTAAATATCATCATTGTCTTAGCAAACCAGCTAAGTCAGAAAATGTGAATACAAACCAACAATTTGTGATCTAAAAAACTCTTTAGGAGATCCTGATAGAATATTTGAGAGCCTCAAACCAGAAAAATTATTGTGAAAACTGAGTATGCATCAGGATCATCCATGGCATGTAAGCATATTAATTCCTACACCCTGTTTCAAGCTAGAGATCAAGTGGTTGCAATGCAACTCGTAGGGTGCCTATTCCAGAATAACTAATGACAGTCACGGGACTGAGCATTCTCCAAAGCCACAGACTGAAGAGCAGTGATTATTGTCATTTTCTAGGGTGAATATCCATAATACATTTGAGGAAAACTACAAAAAAATTACCAAAATAAACTTATCTTTTAATTCTATTTCCCAGAAGAAGTTTAAAGTTACTTCATATAATCTTTTTTACCTTTTGAAAATGGTGCGTTCTTAGCTATTTGTGCTATTCCATATACCGACCTATTTGCTCTTTTCTTAAGTAACTCTGATTCATTTTGTAGACTTCAGAAAAACCTTCCTAAGTGAGTTCGTTTTCTTTATTTTATGCTGTCTTATTTCAACTCTAATTACTCTTGCATGAAGTAATGAGTGCCTGCCTTTAAGCTCCATGAAATCCTGGTCTTTGATATTTTTAGATCTTCCTATAATATCAGTGCACAGCACAGTATAAGGGTTTTGTAGGTGCTCAATAAATACTTGATAATAAAAATCCATGTGTCCAGTTATATATTAAAGTATGAACTAGAGCATAATTAATATTTGTCAGTACATACAGTAAAACAAATCCAGACTCTGAGCCAGTTTTGTTACCATGTTACTGAATTTACACCACTAGTTACATGAATTTTCTATTTTACTTTGGCTTTCCATACTTAATTGCTCAACAGCAGAATCCAATTCTGTGGGACTTAGTGTTTGGGTTCCTGAAATCCCGAAAGTGTAGTGTTAGGAGATCCCAGTGCATGGCGCCTGGGAAATTTTCTTTCTTTCTGTCTGTCTGCAGATAAAGTGATTCTCTCACCAAAACAAATTAAAAAAAAAAAAAAAAGAAAACATAGGGATGAGTGTGGGACACTTTCAAGACCAGGAGAATAGTTCCCAAGTATCAACATCAATGAGGTAGCTGTCTGGAGAAACCATCAAAGACAGTCAATAAATGGAATGGTCAAAGCAATGCTGCTTTTAACACCATGCAGATACAAAATGTTTTTTTAATGGCTTGTAAGAATTTTTAGACCTATACAAGGGAGTTTCTGTGAAAATCTGTATGTGTGAATTTTGAAGTTCTCCTTTCTGTGAAAAAGTCTATGGAATGTGAATATTACATGCATTGTCTTACTCTTGTGGAGTTTGTCTCTCTTCCTTCTCGTCTGAGATTTTACTGTCTCATGCTTATAATTATACACAGTGTGTATGTATGCAGACCTGAATTTAAATTGTAACTCCACTGTGTACCAATGGTGTGGCATTGTTTAACTTGCTTGACCTCTTTAATTTCAGTTCCTTGGTTTGAAAAATGTTGAGTGATCCTATCCACTGCCTAGGGTACAAAACATGAAGAAATGAAACTAAATGAAATGAAACAAAATTAAGTAGATTATTTTCCTCTTTTATCAAAATGACTGCTTTGGTACAAGTGCTACCATGTGATGGTCATCACTAAAACCTAATTTAGAATTTGTAAATAATATCCTCTGCTGGAATGCACGATTCTCAAGGATACCTACTGAGACATAGCATCATGCCTTTATTGTACTCTGAAGAGTGTCTTTCTGGTCCCGCTCAGGGTTCTTTAACCATGAATCAACAGTTACTAGTCCGAAACACCACAAAAAGTATAGATTAGAAGGTGTAGGATGATACTTAAATGTGGATGACCTAATAGCAAGAAGTGAGATTGGCATCTTCACAACATAGAAGACAAAAGTGGAAATAATCATCATCTGGGGCTAAACATTTTTCAACTATTTTTCTGCTCGTACAGTGAGCTCCAGTGCTCAAGAAGAAAACGCATTGAAGTACAAAAGGATTACATCATGTTTCCAAGGTTACCGAATTTGTTTGAGGTGTTCAGGTCACCTAACAGCTAGTTTAGCATTCTTTCTAGTAAAGTAAATTGCTTTCTCATTACATTTTTCTGAACATCACAACTATGTATAAATATAATACCTAATGCAAATAAAACATATATGAAAACATTAACATGTAAGGCACTTCTTTCCCCCCAAATAGTATGGAAAATACTGACTTACAACATTCATGAAAGCTTCTGGGTCCACAGCTTTGGTTGGCATATGTCCCGAATTCACATTGCTTTGAAAGAAATACGCCACCAGAATCAGAAGCCACATCTCCACTCTGTGTGAAACAATCCATGCTCTTAAGATTTCTGACATGGTCCAACATGCGCATTTATTTTTTCTTGGCACGATAGCAACTACGTCTCAAGTCAGAGAAGGATTTGTGGGTTTAAAAACTCTTTCCTATGTTTTTCAGCTGTAATCCCTTCTCCAAATGTTCAAGAGACTTAAGTAAACTTGGTTGACAGGTACAGAAGGAAACCAAGTAGACTGGAGACACTGTCCAGGATGTCCCAATACCATCTGGCTCCTCCTCCTCCTCCCTCACACAACTTGTAATCACCCATCCTTTAGCTTTAAGGTGTGTAGAGCTTTCTCTGATGCAACCTGGAGTTTCATGAGTGTTTCACAGCTCATAAAGCCTCTGCTCTTCCACCAGCAGGTAGTTAGAACCACAAAGAATGTCTCTCCCCTCCCCCAACTCTAGTTTTTATCATTCTTTGACTAGCGCACCATACAGAAACTGCAGAAAGCATGGCAAATTTCCTTTGTCACCACCTAGGGTTTCAATAATCACTGTTCTTTGGAGTGAAGAACAAATGTAGTGATACATACTTTAACATAAAATGTTAACAATGTTAACAAAATTTGTATTGTGGAGTAGTTCTTCCATATTTAGCCTATTTCTGCTAGTTCAATCAAATAGATGTACATAAAGCTTCTATTGTGGATTATATCAATTATTTAATTTGAGAAGATGGTTAGGTGGATACCTGGTAATTCATCTGCATTAGCTAAGCTGGAGAGTTATTGAGTGGCAATCTAGTTGTTTTCAAGAACAGAAGGCTCCAGTTTAGTTAACTTTGAAGTGATGTTAGCAATTTGTTAGTCTACTAATAATAGAGCAGGCCAGGAGGGTATTTTTTTCTGTCATTCTTAGTGACGAATGTGTTAAAAATAACTGAAAAAATTCAATTGTTTCTCTTCTTTTACATGAACTCTTCAGAGCTGAACTAACAGCAGCCATCACGAGTTCAGATTTTGGAATGTGGTGGTGAAGGAGCTGAAACTGGAAAGATGAGTCTGTGAGAATGGATCTTCCCACATGACTCAGGCTCATCCACCTTGACTGGTTGGACAGGTGTGGAGTGGTACACCCACAGTCCTTATCTGACCAATCTGAATAGCCTCACTATTGTTGATGCTGCTGGAGAGGAGGGGTTTGACCTAATTAGAAGAGCAGGGAGAGCCCTGCTCTAAGCACCGGCTTGCTGTGTAGTTATACAAATGGGATTTCAGTAACAACCTTGCCACCCACCCACTATTGACCTTTTAGGATTTTAAATTGTTACATAGTTGGAAAAAGATAACTTCTCGTTCAATTTTGTTTTCAGAAATAAGAAGATGTGTTACATGACTTGCCCAACAAGGTGGAGCTGAATTAAAATTCAGGTACTTTTATTCATTGCATTACATTATAACCAGATGGGAAAATGTAATATTTCAAGTCTTCAATGCAGCACCTACCCTCAGAAAGCACTTATACTGGTCTCTGCAAATTATCTTTAGATCAAAGAGCTACATTTTGAATCAACATTAAATAAACATAATGTTCTCCACTGCAGAATTTGAGCAGTGACATTAGCAACCAACAGCCCATGGAAAGATCAAAAGCATTGTACACAGAAGACAGTTCCCTTTTCAGACTTCCAGCTTTGAGCAGTGCATCTGGAGCGATTTATCTCTCATTGTCTTTTAAAAAATGTGTACAAAGTTGGCAGATTTACTAATTTTCAGATACAGATTTAGGAGCATAGTGATTGCTTTTGCCCCCTCCTTCCTGTGTGCATTTCCCACCCACCTTTCTTCTTCCTTATTTTTTTCCTCCCTTATTTCTGCAATGGTATATTTTCATTTCACTTTGCAGTCACTGGCTGGACACTCCATTAGGTAAAGATATCAACACGTAGCAAAGAGAAAAAACAACTTACTATTCCTCGGGCATATCGGCAAAAATTGTAAACAGTAATTGAATCACAGGATGTCAGTGTTACTCCTATAGATTACATGATTTTTGTACTGTGTATTAGTTAACACAGGTGAGGGGAAGCATATTATAGTTGTCTTTTTGGGACTGGCTTTATTTATAAGTGGCTTATATCAAGGAATTCTGTGACCTGTTAAAATGGGTTTTTACCATTCCTATGCATAAATAAGTGTGATCCGAATACCCTTGCTCTTGAAGCTAAAAAAAAAAAATGTGGGGGGTGGGGAAGGGAGTGAATTAGAAATCAAAACACAGAAATCCAACAGGTCACTAAGGAGAAACTGAAAAAGAAATCAAACAGAAAATGAACCTCTGGCCCTAACATTGAGTGTAAAAATTGTAAAAACTGAAACCATAATGAAGTACTGTCTTCATCAATTTTCTGTTGATATAGCAGAATCCCTGATTCTGGATCACGTACAAAGAGATGAAGTTTATTTAGCTTGCTGTCCTGGAGCTTTGTCTGAGGTTGGATGGCCCTGTTTCTTCAGCCCTGCTGAGCGCCTCTTGGTGGATGGCATCTCAGTGATGGGAGTTTGTGTGACAGCAATCACAGGGCAAATAGAAAGTCAGCGAGTCTCAAGGGCCAACTTTGCTCTTCCTACCATCACTCCTCCTTGAAAGACCAGCACTAATCCCTTGTGACGCCTGAGTTCCCAGGGACTTAATTACTTAGCACTGGGCCCCACCTTTTCTTGAGGAAATTTCTGGTACAGACACAGCTGTGGTGATTTAAAGTTTCAAATTTATTTCTACAGTAGGTTTAAGTAATTCATAATGTGGTTTAAAGCTTTAATCATAGGCTTTACAGATTATTCAGTTCAATGTCACTTTTGCTTATTCATTTAAAATTATAAAATAAAGTAAGTTAATGAAGTTATAAAATGCATATTTGTGGCAAAATTTCAGAGTGAATCTATGTAGACGGAGCTACACATCCTACTTTTCTTCTGAAATATTCCTGTGAACAATTTTATGTTTATTTTTCAAGGCATTTTTCTATGTTTATATAATTACATAACTAGAAAAAATATGTGGTATTACTTATGTAGTAGATAATAAAATTGGCTGAGGCATCTTGGTTGTATGAGTATAGGTCTGAAGAAAAAAAATAAATCATGGGCACCTCATTATTTATTTATTTATTTATTTATTTATTTTTATTGGAAAGGCAGATGTACAGAGAGGAGGAGAGACAGAGAGGAAGATCTTCCATCCTATGATTCACTCCCCAAGTGACCACAATAGCTGGTGCTGTGCCAATCCAAAGCCAGGAGCCAGGAACTTCTTTCCGGGTCTCCCACACAGGTGCAGGGTCCCAAAGCTCTAGGCCATCCTCAACTGCTTTTCCAGGTCACAAGTAGGGAGTTGGATGGGAAGTGGAGCTGCCGGGATTAGAACTGGCGTCCATATGGGATCCGAGGTGCTTTCAAGGTGAGGACCTTAATCGCTACACTATCGCGCCGGGCCCCATCATTTATTTTTTAAATCAGTATTTTAAATCATTGCCTTTTGGTATCTTCTGACAAATTTCCCAAAAGTTATTTGTATAAGATTTAGGAGTTGCTGTCTCTTTTCTAAGCGAGAAAAACAAAAATGCAAACTGTCCTCAATATGTTAGGAACGAAGCTAGTTCATTTCTATGAGATGCTTCCCGTTCTCTAGGACACTGAAATACTTCATTCCTATTAGCGTTCAAACAGATCATTTGTTTCCCAGGACAATTTACTACACTAGTGTACTGTTTGTTCTTCAACAGGCCAGGTGGAACTGCAATTTTCAAACCTGACTTTACCTGTCACCATCAAGAACCTAATTGATAATGAGTTCAAGTCTGCCCAACTCAGGCTGTATATGCAATGTCTCCAGATTAGGAATCCAGAAATCTGTACTTTTACTAGGATAGCTGATTAATTCTGAGGGAGAGCTTGCATTGGGTCCATTGCTGTCCACACACACACACACACACACACACACACGCACGCACGCATGCACAGGCCCTACTGTTCCTGTAGGGTGAGATAGCTGAGTAACTCAGAGGCAAATTCTCCCAGATTTGCTCTTTCCTGAAGAGGGAATTGATCCCAGAAAGTGAAGACAGAATTTCCTTCATGTTACAGATTCCCCTGTGTGCACCAGCATTAACACTGTGGTAAAATGATGATTCATAATAATATGACCCCTTTCAGGCTTAAAATTTACAAGCGGAAACTAGGAGAGTTGAAAGCCTACACATGCCGGTTACTAATTTCCATGATGATAGTTTATGCTGATTCTATTTTCTTTCATCTCAAAGTGGATTTAAACATTCATTAAGCATCATAAAACCAATTTGACTTTCAGAAGCAAAGATAGCAAAGTGTAGAGAATAAGATCACCTCGGTTGGTCTGTCCGAGGCCAATCTGTCCTATTTTTGGAGGCATTTTCCTGCACCTATCATTTCCTGTGTACACATTATACATCAAATTGGAAAACATCAGTCCCCATATTTTCTCTAGCTTCTGCTAGAGACTTACATTACACATTCCTTTTCTGTCCTGTATAATTGAAGCTAATTGGAGTTGTTTAAAACTTTTGATTGTGTAATAATGATTATGTCTTCAGCTACTTATCTAGGATGATTTTACCATATCATGTGTGCCAAGTAAGAATGAAACACTAAAAAGTGTTGTTGAGGTGCATGTCACCAAATGGTGTTTTTTTGTAACCCATTTCTGCTTTTGGGGATCATCAGAAGTGCTTCAGCCTTAGTACTTTACTTCATAATGTATGATGACTAAATTTGTGTTTCATATGATAAACTTATACTGCTACTCATTTATTTTATGCATGTTAGAGACTAAGTTATTACTTGTTTAATTTCTTTTTGTTTCCAAAAATGTTCAAAAATCCTTGGGTGAGATGGTTTCTATAATCTGTTCCTCCTGTGACAGTTTATCCATGTCCTTACAAAGAAAATTGGACAGTATCTGCTTACATCATTACCTATTGTGGTATTTGAAATTTTGGTGTACATCATAGAGAAACTGCTGAACATTTTAATCTGGGAATACTAAGAGGACAGTCAGGCATGTGTGTCTTCTACACTGTGGGTTTAGAGTCTGTCAGAGAACAGCATGAAATACTCCAAACCTTTGTGTAGTGGATTGACTGATGGAGGGTGTCTGCCAAAGAAACTGAAATGCAGATGCTGTATCTGCCCTGGTTAACTGGGGACAAAG